GGGGACACGGCATGGCTACAAACTGTCACATTTCACCTGACTGTCACTTGGTTTCCTGTCTGTGTGACACTGTGTCTTGTCTGTGTCACTTCATGTCCTGTCTGTGCCACCCTGCAAGTCCCTTACCTTGTCTGTGCCACACTGCAAGTCCCTTACCTTGTCTGTGCAACACTGCAAGTCCCTTACCTTGCCTGTGCAACACTGCAAGTCCCTTACCTTGTCTGTGCCACACTGCAAGTCCCTTACCTTGTCTGTGCCACACTGCAAGTCCCTTACCTTGTCTGTGCCACACTGCAAGTCCCTTACCTTGTCTGTGCCACACTGCAAGTCCCTTACCTTGTCTGTGCCACACTGCAAGTCCCTTACCTTGTCTGTGCCACACTGCAAGTCCCTTACCTTGTCTGTGCCACACTGCAAGTCCCTTACCTTGTCTGAGCCACACTATATGTCCTGTGTGTGCCACACTACATGTCCCTTACCCTGTGTGTGCCACACTACATGTCCCTTACTTTGTCTGAGCCACACTATATGTCCTGTCTGTGCCACACTACATGTCCCTTACCCTGTGTGTGCGCCACACTATATGTCCTGTCTGTGCCACGCTGCAAGTCCCTTACCCTGTGTGTGCCACACTACATGTCCCTTACCCTGGCTATGCCACACAATCTTTCCAGTCTGTGTCACATGTCCCTCACCCTGTCTATTCAATCCTTGTTCTGCCAGTTGATGCCTCTCTTCTGTCTGCACCAGCTGATATTGTCCCATATGCCAGTCTATGCCTTTCTTCTTTGTATACCAGGTGACTCTGCTACTCATGCCAGTCTATATCTCTGTACTGTGTATACCATCTAACTTTGCCACATATGCCAGGCTATACCACTGTACTAGATATACCATCTAACATATGCCAGCCTATTCCACTGTACTATGTATACCATCTAACATATGCCAGCCTATACCACTGTACTGTGTATACCATCTAACATATGCCAGCCTATACCACTGTACTATGTATACCATCTAACATATGCCAGCCTATACCACTGTACTATGTATACCATCTAACATATGCCAGCCTATACCACTGTACTATGTATACCATCTAACATATGCTTATCTGTGCCAGTCTATACACTTCCCCCATACAATACCAGCCTGCCTGCTTATCTGTGCCAGTCTATACACTTCCCCATACAATACCGGCCTGCCTGCTTATCTGTGCCATATGTGCCAGGGGATAAACCTTCCCTATAATATACCAGCCTGCCTGCTTATCTGTGCCAGTCTATACACTCAACCCATACAATACCGGCCTGCCTGCTTATCTGTGCCAGGCTATACACTTCCCCCATACAATACCCGCCTGCCTGCGTATCTGTGCCAGGCTATACATTCCCCCATACAATACCTGCCTGCGTATCTGTGCCAGGCTATACACTTCCCCCATACAATACCAGCCTGCCTGCGTATCTATGCCAGGCTATACACTTCCCCCATATTATACCAGCCTGCCTGCGTATCTGTGCCAGTCTATACACTTCCCCCATACAATACCAGCCTGCCTGCTTATCTGTGCCAGGCTGCCAGTCTTCGTGTCTCTTGTCTGTACCAGTCTACGTTTATTTTCTATGCCAGCCCTCCTGCAGTGTCTCTGGCTGCCCTCTGTGTGTCTTTTCATAGACACTCTCTGTGACTTCCCACTGAGCGGCTGTGTGTCTGTTCCCTGACTGTCCCTTTGTTATTTCCCACTCTGTGTTTATTGTATGACCGCTGTCTACTTTCCCAGGCAGTCTCATGTCAGCCATTAACTCCCTTCCTTCTCCCCTGAGCAGTCTCTCTGCCCCAACTCTCCCCTGAGCAGTCTCTCTGCCCCTTCCTGTCCCCTGAGCAGTCTCTCTGCCCCCAGTACTATTTGTGCTCCCTCCTGAGTAATCTCTTTTCCTCCTCCTCTCCCTTTAGCTGTCTTTTGCCCCATTCTCTCCCCTGACCTGCTTCTCATCCCTTCCCCCAGGGATGTCACTCTGGGTCTCCCTCTCCTGAGCATTCTATCTGCCTCCTCCTCTCTCCTGAGCAGTCTCTCTGCCTCCTCCTCTCTCCTGAGCAGTCTCTCTGCCTCCTCCTCTCTGCTGACCTTCCTCTCACCCCTTTCCCCAGTGCTGTCACTCTCTGTCTCCTGAGCAGTCTCTCGGCCCCCCTCCCCTCTCTCAGGCTGTCTCTCCTCCTCCCTCGGGCTGTCTCCTCCCCTCTCCCGGGTGTCTCTCGGCCCCTCCCCTCCTCCCTCCAGTGTGCAGTGGCGCGCCCCGTCACGTGGGTGTCTAGACACTCTGTCGCTTTAAAAAAAAAAGTGATTGTGTTCCTCAAACAGCTCAAGTTACTAAAAGCTCTTTTATGTCACCTACATGCTCGGAGCGATGTACACAGCGACCTACGGAGGCCGGGACACTGTGTGACCGCACTGTGACAGCATTACACTCTGCTACACTGAGACTATGTGACTGCACTGTGATACAATGTTTCTGCACTGTGATACACTGACTGCACTGTGACTACACTGTGATACAATGTTTCTGCACTGTGAAAAACTGACTGCACTGTGATATACAGTGACGGCACTGTGATACAATGTTTCTGCACTGTGATACACTGACTGCACTGTGATACACTGACTGCACTGTGATACAATGTTTCTGCACTGTGATACACTGACTGCACTGTGACTGCACTGTGATACAATGTTTCTGCACTGTGATACAATGTTTCTGCACTGTGATATACTGACTGCACTGTGATATACTGTGACTACACTGTGATACAATGTTTCTGCACTGTGATACAATGTTTCTGCACTGTGATACAGTGACTGCACTGTGATACAATGTTTCTGCACTGTGATACAGTGACTGCACTGTGATACAATGTTTCTGCACTGTGATATACTGTGATACACTGGCTGCACTGTGACTGTACTGTGATACAATGTGACTGCACTGTGATACACTGACTGCACTGTGACTGCACTGTGATACAATGTTTCTGCACTGTGATACACTGACTGCACTGTGACTGCACTGTGATACAATGTTTCTGCACTGTGATACAATGTTTCTGCACTGTGATATACTGACTGCACTGTGATATACTGTGACTACACTGTGATACAATGTTTCTGCACTGTGATACAATGTTTCTGCACTGTGATACAGTGACTGCACTGTGATACAATGTTTCTGCACTGTGATATACTGTGATACACTGGCTGCACTGTGACTGTACTGTGATACAATGTGACTGCACTGTGATACACTGACTGCACTGTGACTGCACTGTGATACAATGTTTCTGCACTGTGATATACTGAGATACACTGACTGCACTGTGATATACTATGACCATGCTGTGATACAATGTGACCGCACTGTGATACACTGACTGCACTGTGATATACTGTGACTGCACTGTGATATACTGTGACTGCACTGTGATATACTGTGACTACACTGTGATATACTGTGACTGCACTGTGATACACTGACTGCACTGTGATATACTGTGAGTCACTGACTGCACTGTGATATACTGTGACCGCACTGTGATATACTGACTGCACTGTGACTACACTGTGATATACTGTGAGACACTGACCGCACTGTGATATACTGTGATCGCACTGTGATATACTATGACCACGCTGTGATACAATGTGACCGCACTGTGCTGCAATGGGACCGCACTGTGCTGCAATGGGACCGCACTGTGCTGCAATGGGACCGCACTGTGCTGCAATGGGACCGCACTGTGCTGCAATGGGACCGCACTGTGCTGCAATGGGACCGCACTGTATGTGATATACTGTGACTACACTGTGATATACTGTGACTGCACTGTGATACACTGACTGCACTGTGATATACTGTGAGTCACTGACTGCACTGTGATATACTGTGACCGCACTGTGATATACTGACTGCACTGTGACTACACTGTGATATACTGTGAGACACTGACCGCACTGTGATATACTGTGATCGCACTGTGATATACTATGACCACGCTGTGATGCAATGTGACCGCACTGTGCTGCAATGGGACCGCACTGTGCTGCAATGGGACCGCACTGTGCTGCAATGGGACCGCACTGTAATACAATGTGACTGCACTGTGATACACTGATACAATGTGACCGCACTGTGACGCCATGTATGATGTTTGTATTTGTTATTTTTACAAACCCCAAAAAGAAGAGTCGCAATAAATGATTCTAAGAAGCTCCTCCCATCAGTGCGTTGTATTTCTGAACAATCCTGCTTCCTTGTAAACATGCGCGTTACATTGTAGTGGCAACGCATGGAAAACGTGTCCCCAGTCCTCTGATCTCCCAGGCACTCTATTGGTAAAATCCTTGCTCTGAGTTCCTGGGTCTGTACACTTACTACACCCATTATGAGGAGCTCCCGCCATCCCTGTGCTGAGTTCCCGGGTCTGTACACCTGCTGTGCCCATTATGAGGGGCTCACACCATCCATGTGCTGCGTTCCCGGATCTGTACACTTACTACACCCATTATGAGGAGCTCCCGCCATCCCTGTGCTGAGTTCCCGGGTCTGTACACCCGCTGTGCCCATTATGAGGGGCTCCCACCATCC